AGCAGCAGCCAAAGCTGCTGCTGCTGCTGCGGCGGCGGCAAGCCGCAAGGCACCTCTCTGACTGGGGAGAAAATTCGCTGCAGTCACAGGTGCTGCTGGTGCTGCTGTGGGAGCTGCTGTCGCCCTGCTGCAGTTTGCTGCTCCTGCTGCTGCTTCTCCTGCTGCTGCAGCTGCTCGTGCGGCTGCTGTTCCTCAGGCTCTCCCCCGTAGAGCATCTGCTAAGGTTTCTGCTGCTTCGCCGCAGCAGCCTCTTGCTGCTGCTGCACCTGCTGCTGCTGCTGCTCTTCAGGCCGCCAACCTTGGAATCAACTGGCTTTCTACAAGCTGCAGCAGCAGAAGCAGCAGCAACACGCTCTGCTGCTGCTGCGCGGATATCAGTCCTTCTCAGGCGGTATGCAGGAGTGGTCATTGAAAGAAGCCGGCCAACGCTGCTGCTACTGTCGTTGCTGCTGCGCTTGCTGCTGCTGCTGCTGCTGCTGTGCTTGCTGCTGTTGCTGCTGCTGCTGCTGGGCTTAGCTCTATACAACATGTATCGCCCTAGCTGCTGCGCCGCTCCATCCAGTTTGTCTTTAGAAAGCAGCAGCAGCAGCGCCGAGCAGGGGCCCCGCTTTCCGTGGCCCTGGTGCTGCTGTCGCTGCTGCTGCTGCTGTTGCTGCTGCTGCTGCTGTTGCTGCTGCTTCTAGCGCTCCTACTATTCCATGACAAGCAAAGAGAGCTAAGTCAGAACGACCGCTGGGGCTGAAAAAAGGTTCCAGGAGCTGTTGCTGCTGCTGCAGCTGCTGCTGCTGCTGCCGGCAAGACTACACTTACTTTACAGCTTTATTTTGCGTTTTAAAAATTCTGCGGGAGATGTTGCTGCTGCCTGTGGAGCGCGAGGAAGGCAGCAGTTGCTGCTGCTGCTGCGCAGCCCCAACGGCCAGGTAAGCCACAGCTTCAGCAGCAGCAGCAGCTGGTGCTGCTGCTGCAGCAAGCCAACAGTCAATTACATCCTCAGGCTGCAGCAGCTAAATTCAAATAAGAGCAGCAAATTCAAAAGGGCTTCCAACATATAAGACTCGACGAAGACAGCCGCAGCAAGACCAGCGGTATCTGCTCGCGCTGCTGCTGCTGTCGCTGCTGCTGCTGCTTGCAGGTCCTCGTGCTGCTGCAGCAGCTGCTGCTGCAGCAACCGTGGGGCTTGCTGCGAAGGAACACAATCCGTGAAGACATTAGACTTTCTTTTTAGAGCAGCAGTCGATTTGCACAGGAGTTGTGTAGAGTAACAGAGGTACACCAACACTTGCTGCTGCGTGCTGCTGCTGCTGTTGCTGCTGCTGGGGATTCAGGTGTTGCTGCTGCATGCTGCATGCGCAGAAGATAGGGTCAGTGAGAGCAGTGTGCACACTTGAACAAACTTCCTGGCGCACCCTTTGCTGCTGCTGCTGCTGCAGCATTGAGGCTGCTGTGATTTGTTTCTGCTGCTGTTGCTGCTGCTGCACTTGCGGGGCTGTGCTGCTGCTGCTGCAGCCGGATGCTGTGTGTCGCCCGCCGGTTTGGCCGTGGATTCTCTCTCATCACGTTGCTGCAGCTCCCGCCGTTTCTGCTGCTGCTGCTGCTGCTGCTGCTGCTTCTGCCGCTGCAGCTGCACTTTATGCTCTCTGGAGCTTACACCCTCAGAGTGGGTCAGCGCAGCCTTTGGCCGCCTACGAAGTGGCAGCAGCAGCAGCAGCAGCACCTGCAGCAGCAGCAGCGCCTGCAGCAACTGCAGCATCTACTGCAGCAGCAGACTCGCCGACAGCCGCAGCACGTCTCTAGCTTCATCTTTCGCCTGCCCCACCATTGGACTGCCTTCAGCAGCAGCAGCAACAACAGCAGCAGCAGCAGCAGCATCGGCAGCTTCGCAAGGCAGCCAGGGATTTGCTGCGCCGGATCAACAGCAGCAGCAGCAGCAGCAGCAGCGACACCAGCACGCAACAGAGCTCGTGGCCCAATGAAGCGGGAGGAGGTCTCCGTATCTCCTGCTGCTGCAGACGAGCAGCAGCAGCAGCAGAAGCAGCAGCAGCAGCAGCAGCAGGAGCTGTCGCCGCGGGAGCAGCAGCTAAAGGCCGAAAGAGAAGCCCGCAAGAAAGCCAAGGAAGCAGAAAAGGCAGCAAAGGAAGCAGCAAAACTTGAAAAGAAAAAGGCACAAGGTAAACCCTAAACCTTGGCTGCAAACCCTAAACCCTAGCTGCAAACCCTAGGCGCTTGCAGTAAACCCTAAACCCTCGCTGTAAACCCAGAACCCTCGCTGTAAACCCTAAACCCTTGCTGTAAACCCAGAACCCTCGCTGTAAACCCTAAACCCTTGCTTAGAACGCTGAGCCCTCCCTCTAAACCCTAAACGCCCTAAGCCTATGCTAAACCCTGGATGTAAACCCTAAACCCTAGTCCCTAGCCTTCCCTTCGGAATGAGCTAATCCTAAACCCTAAACCCTAGCTCGAAGCCCTAAAGCTTTGCTTTGGAGCCCGAAGAAGCGCGGCCCAGCGCTAAACCCTAAACCCTAATTTAGGGTTTGTGACATTGCGCAGAGGAGGCCCAGGCGCTGCTGATGCGGGTTTCCGCGGACTATGAGGCCGACAGCTTCGGCTACTACCCCCTGATTGACTCGCGCAGCAGCAGCAGCAGCAGCAGCAGCAGCGGCAGCAAATTGAAAAAGAGGGAGTGGACTTCTATTAAGGATGTCGACAGCAAAGAGGGGCAGTACATCTGGGTCAGAGGCAGGCTGCAGGACTGCAGGTCCAAAGGTCCGCTGCTGCTGCTGCTGCTGTTGCAGCTGCTGCTGCAGCCGTTGTCGCTGCTGTTGCTGCTGCCGTTGTTGCTGCTGTTGCTGCTGCTGCTGCTGCAATCCCATCGATGCATCTGAATAATACGTATGTGCGCAGCCGGCTGCATTAGAATGCGCGAAGTTAAATTAAATTAAGTTAAATTAAATTAATTAATTAAATACAATAAGGTATGTGCTCTTTTCCGTTTGCGTGGGCGGGCTTGCTCGAGTGTTTCGGGTGTATGTGCACCCGAAACACTTTTTGTTTCGGGTGTATGTACACCCGGGTTTCCTCGCATGCGTTTCTGCGAAGCGTTCAAAGCACTTAAATCACTTATTAAACAAATATCAGAACCCCCCGAATTATTCATGAAATTGCGTTGCTGTTGCTGCTGCTGCTGCTGCTGCTGCAGGTTCTGTGGTGTTTCTGACGCTGCGGGAGGGGCTGTGGACGGTGCAGTGCGTGCTGGGCGCGGAGCAGCCGAAGGCCTTGCTGCGGTTTGCTGCAGCAGCAGC